GACATTCCAAAAACCGCTATTATAACGCCCTTCGGACTCTATGAATTTTTGCGAATGCCTTTCGGTCTAAGAAACGCGGCACAGACTTTATAAAGGTTCATAGATGACGTTTTTCGAGGTCTCAACTTCGAACATGCGTATGTTGATGACTGCCTAATAGCAAGTTCGGACAGAGAATCACATCTCCAGCATCTGGACCTTGTTTTCGACCGACTACAAAAACATGGCATTACTGTAAACATTCAGAAATGCCAAATCGGAACTGACTCCTTAGACTTCATAGGACACACTGTCGATGCGCAAGGCATCCGACCCCTTAGAACAAAAGTGGAGGCCATTCTGGATCGCCCTGAACCGACCACCATCAAGCAATTACTCACGTTAGACGGTCTGGTAAGTTTTTATAGACGATTCATACCAAAATGCGCGTTACTTATGAAACCTCTTACGCGAAAAACTTCGTGGAAATGCGAAATCCATCAATCTGGATGACACTGCACGAAAAGCATTCTCCACAGTAAAGGAACGTATCGCTCAAGCAACAATGCTTGCTCATCAGGACACTGAAGCGCCCATTAGTATCGCAGTAGACTCATACGGCTCAGCAATCGGAGGGGTCCTACAACAATGGGTTAACCACTACTGGCAATTTTTGGCATTCTTCTCTAGACGGTTGCTAGACACTGAATCGAGGTACAGCACATTCGTAGGGAACTCCTAGCTATGTATTGTGCTGTCCGGCATTTTCAACACTATATCGAAGGCAGTGAATTCACCATTTTTGCCGACCATAAACCACTTACATTCTCCTTAAGCTCATCTTCAGAAAAGTACTCACCACGTGAGTCTCGACAACTGGACTACATTTCGCAGTTTACTTCAGATATTCGACACATTTCTGGAGCAAACAATGTGGACGCAGACGCCTTGTCTCGCATAAATTCCTTGAACAGTTCCCAAGGAATCGACCTTTTAAAACTAGCCCACCTTCAAAGAGAAGACAGTGATCTTCAGCACGAGCTGGCCACAACAACACTTAAACTGCGCATTAAATAGATGGGTACAGGTAAGGAAACTTTACTTTGTGACACATCTACAGGTAGGGGTCACCCAATCGTGCCGAAACAATGTTGACTCAACGTCTTCAATACGTCGCACAGACTTTCTCATCCAGGTGTTCGTGCAACCATCAACCTTATAGCAGAAAGGTTTTGATGGCGTGGTATGAAGAAAGACGTGAGGAAGTGGGCACGCTCCTGTGTAAGCTGCCAGAAATCTAAGGTTATTAGACATGAAAAATGTCCCTTAGGTTTATTTAAAATTCTTGATGCTCGCTTCGACCATTTTCATTTGGATTTGGTTGGAACTTTACCAGATTCAAATGGATATTCCTATCTTTTAACATGCGTAGTCCGTTTTACTCGATGGCCAGAAGCAGTACACATCAAAGACATTACTCCTGAAACAGTGGCCCGCACCTTCATCGAGAGGTGGGTAGCAAATTTTGGGTGCCCAACAACCATCACTACAGATCGTGGACGTCAGTTCGAATCTGAACTGTTCCGTCGTCTGACCGCAATATTAGGAATCACTCGCTTCCGAACGGCGGCCTAGCACCCACAAGCAAACGGGTAAGTAGAACGTTTTCACCGACAACTAAAATCCTCACTATCATCCGGAAAACATTTCTCAATAGACTGACGCTCTTCCATTCGTCTTACTAGGTATTCGCAATGCAGTGAAAGCTGACATTGGATACACTGCGTTTCAACTCGTTTATAGTACAACCCTTCGACTTCCAGGAGAGTTCGTGGATCCTTTATCCTCTTCGATGAACATGGATCTAACCTCCTACGCGGACAGGCTTACAAACGTAATGCGTTCAGTTAAACCTGTTTCCACTCGACCACAATCAACTGATGTTTTCGATCAACCTGACTTACGACATAGTACAGACGTCTTCACTTGGTGGGTACGCTTCTTATTAGAAGGTTTTACTATTTAAAGCGTTGTCAAACTCCGAATACCTGTGGCATCTTCACTAATAAAAGTCTCTGGAAAAAGATAGGACGCACTTTAGGAAATCATCGAACTGTATCACGAGGCGTGCGCTTTGTTGTATTCATGAATGTAAACAGAAAAGTGGAAGATCAAAGAATACATTGGTTTTGGTAATTGGAAGCACACCGAAATTTTAAATAGCAACTGGGATCAACTGGAAAGGAATGTTCAGGACAGAGTTGGGTGGAGAATGCTGGTGTGTGGTCTATGCTTCTCCACGAGAGGAACTGGTGTGAGTAAGAAAGTCTAAATAAGAGAATTTACGAAAACTCTCAAAAAATGTGCATAAATTCAGAGCGAGCTACTCGTCAACTGGCTATCGACTTTCTTGTCGTATAGTCAACAAATGAATCTCGTTACACAACATGTGATTGAAGTTACATTTTTCGTTGGGTTTAAAAGTAATTTAGTGAACACCAATGTCAGCAAAATCATCGACAACTCAGCCTTCTGTTACTTCTCAAGTGAAACTGATTTGTTACCATACTTTGAACAGATTATTAATGGTGACAATGTTTATTGTTTGAGGGCACGATAATGCAATTCATAATTTGTTTATGTTTATCAAAATCTTTTAGTTGTTGGCAGCGCAGTTATTCAAAGTGCTTTCTGAGGGGTTTTCGATGTTCAAATTGAAGCATGCTGCGGGATATAATATATAAGGGAAAGGAATTAGCTGACAAAGTGTAGGTTCTGTTTATTCAAATTTACCTCAGAAGAACTAATATAATGATGAATTACACGGAGGCGGAAATGAAGGTTCGAGAAGCAACCAATGATGATATGTGTTGTCCAAGTGGTCGTCTTTTACAGAAGTTGGCAGATTACACGTATGCCTATGAAACATGTTTGGAAGTCATGTCAACTCTATGGAAAAGGATGCATCCTGAAGATAGAATAAGTTGGAGGAGGGTTTATAAGGCATGTATATTTAAAAAGGGAGCTTTATTCATTACTATGTCTTTTAAATGTGTTTAAGGTGTCTCTCATGCGCAAATAAGTTTTTAGGTAATATAACTAACTAATCTCGATACGATGTCTGCAACGCTTGTTCTATTTTAGCCATATAAACTATAAAAATCTGATAGACTGTATAGCCAAAAATTAATTAAAGCTAAACGCAACAAAATATGTTGTTAATAAAAATCCTGAAGCCGATTTAATTTTTACCAAAAGTTAACGAAGAGACGAGTTTTCAAAGCTTCGACAGACCTCACCTTGGATTTATCTGTAATTTCGAGGTAATGATTTATGACAATTTTCCATTTCTTAACAATAATAACCGTAGTTTACAGTATATCGGTTGTCGATTTTCTGTTTCTCATTTGGATCATTCACCCTCACTCCCTAGTCTTTATCACTGGCAACGTTTTTAGTCCATTTTCTAAATGTGCTTTCGATTTCAAAACTTTCCGCCTACGTTCGGAAGTATGGGATTTAGTCTAAAACTTTGAGATCCATATATGTTGCATATATATATATGTGTGTTTCTTTATTCAGCTGTCGGATTTGTGATTTCAAAAACAAGTATAAATCAGATAAGAAGCTCCAAACTAAAGGATTTTTTATAAACATATATAATCCTCTAAATTCTAGAAAGTTTTCTGAGACGACGAATGTGTAATTAGTGCACAACGTGTACTTATAACCCAGCTCTTATCAACGTTATTCAAATTCATGTTGGTCAAATACTGTGATGTTGGGATAAACAGACAAAAGCAAGGTTAATTCATAACAATTTTGTTATCATTTTTCAAAACTTGGGGGATAATGAAATGAAATGACCGAGTATAAGTCCTTATGTTTGACTATAAGTTCTACTTCCTTCGTTCTAGTGATACTATTCAGCTACCGGAATTTTCGCAGGCAACGTGTTCTTAAGCCTACAAATCGGTAGTTTAAAGTCACATGACTTAGCCATTAAGCCACTTATTGATGATCTTAAACTAGGATACACTAAGAAACTCAAATGTGTGACCTGGGTTACTCGTTTTAATAGGATTGTCAGAGAACTGTATAAATAAAAGGCACGTCTAATTTAGATCCTCGCTGTATTCGAAACTAGGCTTTTTCGTCAAAATTCACTAAGATATGACAATGTGAATAATCCGTAACGAAATTACTTGAGTGTGAAGATTCATAAGTTTAGTGGATACAATCTTACACATAATATCATGTGGCTACTCAGTAGGGATTATATGTTTGTGATGGAGTTTTGTTCTCTGAGCTCAGAGAACAAAACTCCATTAAAATCATCCACCTGAGCTACAAATCTTCACCATCTCATTATATGTTTGTTTTTGTGCCAGTGTTTTGAGATCGACATAGAATTTTTTATCTAATTCTGACGCTACTCAGTGAATTTGTTTCTGCGTGATATTTGGATACATGTAGATTTATTAGGTTATTTATCTTGTTAAAAATAATTGCTGAGTTTATCCTTGTATGTGTCTTTGTTTAGGTAATTGATTTGATGAATTTTTAAACTGACTCGTAATAATTTCCAAAATATCCATCAAGAATGTTCTTAAGATTGAAATCTGTCAGTAGCTACCACATTAAGCAATCCGTCATTATGATAACGTACACTAACTGACCTACCAGCTTTCTGGATTAATGTATTTAGGTACTAATATCATAATGTCATTCTTACTCTGAATAGTTTTTGGTGTTACAATACAGACCACTAAGTTTCGTTCCATAGTAGGAATTAATAGATCTACCAATTTATGATGCAATCCCACTCTAATTTATTATCATAATTTACTAACAAATTGCACATTGAAATTTCAGTACTAGTTCAAACATTTCGTTTTATTTTTTACTTGTAGTCTTTGGTTGTCCTTACCTTTCTTTTGAAAAATGGTTCTCATTATGTGTTGCAAAGTGCTCAAGATCATATTTATGACATTCGTACACTTGAATCTTTCCGGTATTTTGATGAGAATGGAAAGGATCAAGGAATGAATGGTAAGCGATTGTTCGGTACTCCATAATTTGTTTATGTATTATCAGATTTTTATATGATAACTTGCAGAAGAGAATCTAAATACGAGTAAAGCACAATTAAACTGTTAAGACTGGTGAACAATACGACTTATTGTGAATTTAGTATTTGTTAGTCACGAATGTCACTGTTAATTCGTATGTCCTTGAGCTACTTTGATTGACTTATTATTTTGTTTAAACACAAATATTGGTACAAGAAGACACAAATTAGATGTGCACCACATAAATCATTCGATTTGTGTGAGGGCTGTGATACTGCCCGGGTGCCCAGACCGAATTAGGTGGTTTTCTTAGGAGGCCACGCCCGGAGCGTTTGACCTAAAGGTCTGATCCACAAGGCAGTGGAGCATCGTAGAGAGATGCGGTTTCGCTTGCTGTTTACGAAATTGAGAGGACTGAAAGTGAATGTCCGGCTCTTTAACCGGGTTAGTGGACACTAGGTCTACATAGGGGAGTTGGGAAACCCTGGTTCCAAACCAATGGTGCACATGGGCTCCAGTATCCTGAGGAAACAAATGGCGTATGAACCAATAGTTGGTCACCGGCCACCACCCGGAATCTGTTAAAGCGTAGGAAACACTTCTGGGACTTATTCTTGTTGACAGGTCGCGCATCATTTAAGTGTGAGCACCGAAAATTCCGGAATATTCGTAAGAATCACGTACTACTTACGAACGACAGTTGGTATATGATAGCCGTACTTGTCCGAAACGACTGTTTTCGTATGTTAAACGGCGAATGAAACGTAGTGATGGTATTCCCCCGTTACTATTACACGAAAATTCAGATTTACTAGCTGAATCAGGCCGGGCAAAAGCTGAGACTTTTTCAAACTATTTTAGCGAAGCCTAGTCTACGTTTATTGTGATAAGTACTTGTCCCAATCACACCGACATACCAGCCATTGAATCTGTACAGGTGACTGAGGAAACTGTCCTTCCGTTGATAACTAACCTCAAACCTTGTAAGATACCGGGTCCTGACGGGTTGCATCCACGGCTATCATCTCTTGCGGAGGTTATTTCAAAACCGCTCGCGACGCTCTTTAACATGTTTCTTTCATTCGCTCAACTCCCCAGAGATTGGAAAGACGCTATAGTCAGTCCTATATTTAAGGATGGTCAGAGACAAATCGTATCTAACTACCCGCCTGTCAGTCTAACTAGCATTGTCGTTAAGTTACTTGAAAAGATAATTCGGGTTAAGTTGCTAAGTCACATAGATTCACACAATCTGTTAGCTCCTGAGCAACATGGATTTCGTAACAAGCGTCCATGTTTGACTAACTTACTTATTGCGAGAGAGGATTAGACAGCAGCCTTAGATAAGGGTCTGTCTGTCGATGTGATATTCATAGATTTTAGCAAAGCATTTGACAAGGTTTCACACTTAGGTCTTATGCAGAAGCTCACGAGCTTCGGAATAATAAGTACTGTACAGGAGTGGATAAGAATCTTTTTATGTGACCACAGACAGAGAGTGAGAGTCAACGGAACGCTATCCGATTGGAAGCCGGTCAAATGTGGCGTTCCCCAAGTCACCATCCTAGGCCCTCTGCTCTTCCTTCTCTACGTTAACGAGTTACCACTATTGCTTAGGTCGTCGACATTATTGTTTGCGGATGACGTAAAAACCTGGAGAACAATAAAAAGTGAGGCTGATCATTTGGATCTCCAAGCTGACTTAGAAGATTTAGTTAGATGGGCTCGAGGTTGGGGCTTAGAAATCAATTCTAGGAAGAGTGTGCTAATGCACATCAGTCAAGATAATAGTTACCATTAAACTATTGATGGTAAACCTCTTTCATGCATTCAAGAACATAAAGACTTAGGATTAATAATAAGTTATGTCCCGTTGTCTGGAACGCCTTACCCGAACAAGTGGTATCAGCCCCATCAGTGAATATTTTTAAGGAAAAGCTGGACTTTAACTGGAAGGCAATCTGTCAGGACTAACACAGGTTCACCGACCTACTATCCTTATTACTGAAAACTGTAAACTATAATGTTATTTCCTATAAATGTCTTTAATAATGTGTAATTTTTTAATTAACTCGACAGCAATTGATGTGTCTTTTAACGTTTGTTTCGTAAGGGCCGAGAGTAGGGAGAGTCCTCTCTCCCTCTCGAAATGCTCTCATATGGCCACGCGTATACAGCCTCTGTCAGGGAAGTCCTACTCACTGCCTTCTCGTGGCGGGGGTGTTGTTTACGAAAATGAGAGGACGAAAAGCGAATTTCCGGCGCTTTAACCGGATCCGAAACCAATGGTGCACATGGGCTCCAGTATCCTGAAGGAACAAATGGAGTATGAACCAATCGTTGGTCACCGGCCACCATGGGACTGCATCACTTTACGATGCTCCACTGCCTTGTGGGTCAGACGTTCAGGTCGAAGGCTCTGGGTGCGGTGTCCTTAGAAAACCACCTGCTTCGTTTTGGGCACCCGGGCAGTATCATAGCCCTCGCATATTTACTTGGTGCCTCCTTGTACCTATACCTATGTGTTAAAATAAATAAATAATATTATTTCGTAATGGACATGAAGAGGAATATAGAAGGCATTTGGGTGTATTTAAGCAAAAAGTAGACAACTCGGAGATACTTCAAACATAAGGCGACAAAAACGGAAAATTTCGCACTATTTCCTCATAACAAGAGAGGAAAGAGAGATTTTGAGGCATCTCCTCTTTACTTTGTGACGAAATGTTTCCCTTATTTCACTCTTATTAGCCTTTAATTCCCCCTTATCGATTGCCTGGAAAGTTCCAAGAAATATAAGTCATTACCTAAAATATAGCAGATATTAGGTGGTGCCCTGAGATGGAAACAATCAGAAGCTAATTTTCCCGGTGTTTTGATTGGTCATTTGTTTTACAATGGACTAAATTTAGTCCATGTGAAATAAAAAAGTCCAGAGGCCCTGATAATATTCATCCTAGGATTATGAAAACCATATCAGATGTAATTGCTGAACCATTAGCGATACTGTTTGACATGTCTCGGATGCAGTCGCTGATAACTTAAAATTTGGAGACCCATACACAGTATGCCTGACAGGATAGTATTACAGAATGATCTTAGCTCATTGGTGACATGGTTAGACAGGTGGTCACTAGAAGTAAATATTAGCTGGAGTGTGGTGATGCAATTAAATAATTATGATGAATCGTATCACTATACAATATGTGGATTCGTACTACCCAAAGAAACTATAAAGATTTAGGAGTCATATTACGCAGTGATCTCAACACACTAGCCACTGTAAGGCTGCTACTGCGAAAGGCTGTAGGGTATTATAGTCTATTCGTAGGTCTTTCCAGTATTTAGATGATGAAATGTTTACATTATTATACCCGATTTACGTGAGACCACATTTAGAATATGGGATTCAAGCAGCGAGTCCTTGTCTCAAGTAGGAAGCAGATATGACGAGATACTAAGATGGTACAAGGTCTATCTGGCCTATCGTATGAAGACAGACTGCGATACCTTAACTTATTTCCGTTATCTTACCGTAGAATACGGGGTGATCTAATATTGGCTTATCGTATACTGAACGATGACCTTGGTCTTAACATGTCTTAACTTTTACTTCCATCTAAGACTGATCATTTGAAAGAACATTCCGAAGTTCAAAAACCGAGGTCAAATCGTTTACATCTGGAGTTTTGTTTCTCAGTTTCAGTTTGGAAAGGACAGGAGGATTGACGGCCTGTGTTAGTCCTGGCAATTGTGTTCTCTCAGTTGATCCGACTTTCTTTTGAAAGAAAGCTCCATCCGTAGATTAATGAATTCCAATCGTTGATGATTCGGTGGGAAAGTCGATAATCAGCTGACAAGTAATTTGTTCTGGGCTTGTGAACTTTTCTGGAGTGTCCTTGCACCGAGTAGTGAATTACTGGAATTCTCTACCAGAACACATAATATCAGCATCTTTTGTTGATATATTCAAAACGAGATTGGACCTCCAAAGTATTACAAACTGCAAGGACTAATATACGTCGATAGACCTCCTATCCTTATTACTGAAGACTGAAGACATACTTGTAACACGTGTTATAACCAGACTGTTTTTTTAATGATTACAACTTTGTACAATTGCAACTGAGATCAGCTTTCTGTGAAATAATTCAAAATTAATTTGAGAATACACCCATAATGAAGAAATTTATTAGACCCACAATTTCTGTTGAGGACTGAAATGTAAAGAGCTCCAGGCTCAAGGTCGAGCGGTTGCAACCTTGCGTTATTTTGATCCCGCGATAATTCTGTTGCCTCTCCATTTGTAAAGATAGGAGATTGCTTCACCTGTGTTAGTGCTTGTAACTCGCTTTTCAGAGTAGATCCGGCTTCTTCAGACTGTTCATTATTAGCTCAAGGAAGCAAAAAAGGTAGATTTGCGGGAAAGCCTAAGAGAGAGTCGATGTGAATATTCAGATTTGTGTAGTAAGGACAGAAGGCATACAGCCTATGTTACTCCTTTTCTAGTATTCTTCTGTGAGTATCCAGTCTTCTCTTGAAATTGTCAATTAAATGGCGGACACCAGTGCAACAGACAGCAGGTTCCAAATGTTGATGACTCGGTGTGAAAACCTGTATGCCTGTAGTGTTTGAATAAACTAATGATTGCGTTGTAGTTGTTGACTGTTTGATTTCGAATTCTAAATACAATACATTCCTTAGTGCTTGTGTAGTACTTCTTGATTCAATTGCGTTATTTCTGGGATTATTAGTTCATACTATTGTAGCGTGGTGTCGAGTTGAGCTTGACTATGAACACCGCTACCAGACTACGTGCCAATAGACCAATAAGATTCCGGTAGGCCAAAAATCAGAAGGCAGATGATAGTAGTAGTTGTAATATATTTGTTGGCGATCTCGTGGTATCGAAAGAATACTGAGATCGTGCCAAAGGAGTACAGATGCGATCGGCAAGAAAAGATACGTGCGTAGTCGAAA